CAAATTATATCAACTCAAAAAAATTTATGCAAGCTTATCAAACTCATGAAAAAATTTACAAGAAAACAAAGACATGAAATCAAGAATGTGTTAACCAAAAGGCAATTCTCATTAATCCAAAGCACTGGTGATCAGAAAAATGGCAAACAGTAAACACAAAGCAATTGCAATTCAGGACTAAAAATTCAATACCTAAATTTTTTTTCCCCCAAATCACAAACCCTAGTTCATCAGACACTAGCATATTCTCCCCTCGGACTGTCCACAAGGTTGAGCAACGAACCGTACGGTGAATCTTCCAATGAATCTTCCGGCGCCCTCAACACGCCGTGAAAGAGCACGATCGCAGCTCCGACGATCACTGAAACGAAGAGCTTGGACCATGTTTTGGTCCAGAAGAGAGCGACCAAGGTCAATACGGCGAGAAATCCGACGACAATTTTCTGATCGATTTCGAAATCGAAGACGGATAGTGGTTCGTCGCGCCATAAAACCAGGTACACCCACGCGGCGGAGATGCAGAGGAAGAGGATTAAGGGGAGGGGGCGGGTGACGAGGGTTACGACGAAGATTAGGAGAGTGATGACGGCGTAGTTTGGGAGGAAGAAGCGGAGATTTTGGGTGAGGCGGTAGGTGGATTCGGAGACGGAGATTGGGAGGCTGAGTGCTGATAGGTCTAGGAATAGCGGCCAGGGGCGGAGCACGGCGGAGATGGGTGGCGGAGCTGCCGACGACATTTCGTCCCGTGGGTCACTCTGATTTTCGTGGAATTCTTTCTTTAGAGAGAGAAAGTAAGTTTGAATTATGAAATAATAAGAGTGTTTATATATAACATTTTTCTATTAAATAAAACATTTTTCTAAAAATGAATTTTTTTGTGAAATGTTTCAAATAAATAAAAAAGATTGTAATTTTTATAATATTAGTAGCAATAGAATACACACACAAAAAAATAAATAAAGAGGAAATAAAAGACTCATCGGTCGCGCAGTTTTCATGATAAGATTAGCTAATATAAGAGTGTACGATCTTAATTTTTGTTCAATTCGAGTTTTATGTTAATTTTTATCGATTTGAGTTGTTTCCTCGTACTAAAAAAATTAATAAATGTTCATGGATTGTACAAAAGTATACGAATAAGACTAAAATACCCTTCACGCTAAAACTTCAACCACATTGAAGGAATTACATACCAATCAATCCTCACCACAGAATGCAGCAAAAAAAAAAAAAAAAAAGCTGAATATAGTAATCATCAGTCATCAGTCATCACTCATCAATGGCGCAAGAACTATACAAACGCAAAAATGTCGAATTCGCCTGCAGCTAAATTATCAAGTACAAACAAAGGAAAGAAAAATAACCGATCATGTACATAAACATTCGAGTTTTAAAAAAAAATCAAACTAGAATACACGACAATGTGGAAGAAGACGAAGATGCGAGTTTACTACGGAGACCAGTTGACTCGGATATTTTAGGATTCCCCAAATTGCCTCTCCATGATTAGCTGTCCGAGTTTCACGTACAGAGCTTGCTGCTCCTCGAACGGAAGGTTTACCAGTATCTACACCACAAATATTCGTGTTTTAATTTTTTTTATATACTCAGAAAAAAAATTAGATGGCTTCGTAAATAATTAGAGGTATATAACTATTTTACCTGGTCCATAATCATCTCGATCGACAAGCTCTGCGGTACAATAAACGACTGGTGATAGATATACGCAAAAACAGCCATCACCATCTGCGCAGTTGATTCAGACATAACAAATTTAGTAAATTTCAGAATTTCTTTTTTATTATTTTAATCATTGATTTCGTATTTTAAATGACAATTTTTTTATTGTTTTTTCGAATTCACCTGGCAATCCATTCTATCAGTGATTCCACCATGTCCGGGGATGCTATCTCCGAAATCCTGGGACAGGTCAGATAAGAAAATCAGATTTTAACATAAATATACCGAATAAAATTTGGATTAAATAATTATAAAAATAAACAAATAAAAAAATAAAAAAGAATAACCTTGATCTTGAAAGCTCTTTTAAAGCCACTGGCGAAAAAGCCTCCGAATGGTGCTATAATTGATGCAAAGAGACCAAGGCACAGTGCATGCCACTGCACGGGTAAGATAGAAAACTCTCTCCACGGAAACTGCAATTAAAGGTGAGGGTATGTGCAGTCATAATTAGTTAAATTCATATCGAGAAATCATTACGCTACGAATGCGAGGACGAAGAAAATTATGAAAACATCTGAATTTTTCAAAAAAAATAAAGGGTTCTGGAAAGTCTTCGATCTTCCAACAAAAGGACAATTTTAGCCTTTGTAGTTAAAGATTAAGGTATTAGGATAGTTCTATCAATTGCGGAGAAACGTAATTTTATTTAGATAAACATGCACTTACCCATACTGGGAACCAATCAGGCACAGTAAAATATTCCGGCTTAAACAACGAACCAGGATCACATTCAAGCCAACCAGTCGATAAATCCTATATAATCAAGAATCCAAAAGAAAGTTAAGCTTCCCAGAAAACAGATATATAACTACCTAACCAAAGAAGAATGATTGTAAATTTGTAATACAGCAAGTACCTTTCTAGGGCATGTTAGCCACTGAAAACGACCCAATATATTTGCCATCTGCAAAAACGAAAATTTTATAAACCGGTAATTTTTCAGGACCAAAATTGGTGGATAAATACAAAACCCTTGTCACTGAAACAAAGATTATGTAATTTATTAAACTTATTTACTTCTAAATGGATGAATTGCTCACCAAGAAGGCAGAGATCATAGTTGTAAACGAAGCTCCGATAAACCCCTCCCATGTTTTCTTCGGTGAAAGTTTGATCAAAGGAGTTTTCCCAAAGAAGAACCCGAATATGTAAGCGGCAATATCATTGATCACGATAAGTGATGCTGGAAGAAGGAACCTGCATTGTTGTTAATCTTTGTTTGAAGCTATTCACACACTATTAATATATTTCAATGTAATTAGCGGATTCCATAGTCAGTTCCACTACTTGATAAAGGAACATAGATATAAAATATCAATTAGTAAAATAATCTTAGTGGGTTGATTTCTATAAGAAAACTGTGGAATAGCGTAAATTCTAGATTAGTTCAATATAAATTTAACCGTCCAACAGAATCGGGATTAAGCTTGGGGGTTTCAGTATAAAGTGCAATTAGAACAAAGAAATCAAAGATGTGTTACCAGAAAATTCCTTCAAAAATATTTGCCACGGTGAAAGACGACTGCGTAAACACCACAATCAAAATCATATGCGTCCATGCGTATTGGCCGAATTGATACTTGTACATCTTCTTCTTCAGTGCAAGAATGAACCACATAAAACCTGAAATCCACCAACAGAAGATATTTTTTAGTTTTTCATATATTGGAAGAGAAGTAAAGAAAATGAAACAAGGTAACCGACTATCCGAACTAACCTGTGATATATAAGAAATAACAGGTAACCATATGATACTTGTTTAATCTGCCCACGAGCTTATACAAAAACTTGTCCATAGTAACGGCATTCACAAGCCTCTGACTGAGAATGCGACCATACACAAATAGCATCGCCGTGAAGAAGAAGTGCCTGAAAACAAATGCATTGATTTATGAAAAACAAACAACAAAAATAAAATCCAATTCAAGTATAAACTATATGTGATTTATTGGTTCCAAATTCAAGTATAAGGTACAGAACCCCGTCACAGACAATTTGTAGTTAAAGTCAATATCATCTTTCACATGACATATTAGCTTTACATACAACTCTACAAAGTTTCAAACAACTAGTTTTGACCTATTAGCTAATAACTGCTAATTTTATCCTCATGGCTTCAAACGTTGAAGAAAAGCTCGTAACAACGTAAATTTAGTGGAACCCCCTGAAAATTAATCGAAAGAAAGATGAACATATATGTAGGGTTGATGTCTCTATGTCAAATATAAGGAAACAAAGGAAAACATAGATTTTTACAAGAAAGTTAAGATCAGGAATATATTATGATATTGAATTTCCACGAGCTTTGTGCATCACGGAACTAGTTTGCAACAAGTTCAACTTAAACAAACAACTCGGAAAGATAATTGAGATACCATAAAACTCGAACGAATTAAAATATTAGAGAAGCTAGAGTCTAACTTTTCATATGCAGAGAGATAACATCCAAACGGCAAAAAAGTAAATCATCATTAACATAAACTTGAGAGAGGTGAACATGTTAAGTTTACTGACCAATTTAAGAGCCAAAAACCAGGGAGGTGCCTATCTTCGTGCGCTTTCTTTAGCAAATTAAACAGTTCCTTAGCCATAAAAATTTGAATAACGACGACCATGGCCCAGATATAAAGGTGACCCATGTAAATAATTAACGCAAATCCTCCAATCATCCAAACCGTTGAATATGTCCGGATTAACATTGACTTGTACTTGGTATTGTCGTTAACAAGCAGATGGCCCCCATTTGCTCTATCAACTTCTGGAGGGAACTGGAGTTGTAGAAATGAAAAATGCAAAGAAACGAGGATTTTTAAAAGCAGCAAATTCAAAGGCTAAAACAGTTTAAATTAAGGATCTATTCCAATTTAGCATACGAGGCTAATCAGTTTTTTCCTTACAGTTCAGCATAGTTACAACTATATTACTAAGTTAAGCATGAAAAATACGATGGAAGTAACTTCCGAAATTGTCTGCCTGCCTTACAATCTCTTGAAATCTAAAATGAGGACATAGATTATCTTTTATTTTTGTAAAATACTATATATTGAGATAGGAAACAATTATAAAAGGCACCTTACCTCGTTTGAACCTCTGCGCCGACGTAACCGTGCAGTAGGTGTTGATGTACCACCAGAACCATTATCCTTTTGCATCTTTTCTTGTCTTAATAAAACCCTTTATTTAAAACACATTCACTTTCAGTTTTAATTCCTAGAAAAAACCCGAGCAACGAAGAGCAAGAAGCATTGGGATGATTAATCCCCCACTCGAACAGCCAAGCAGCTGAAACAAACAAAAACAAAGTCAAAAACAAAAACAGAACCCTGCTAAAATGAAAATCTATTAACTTCTCTAATTTTTCAATATGATTCTCTATCGACTGATTACCGTTTCTTCCCAAAAATGCTATCATAGTTATCATCCTACTAAGTAACCCCGAATTTTCTGAAGCTCTTTTAAACCTCATAAATCCACAGTATTGAAGAATGAACAGAAAAATAATGCATATTCATACGAAAAATTCTAAACTCGAGCCGCTTAACCACGGTTATATATACCCAATTTAGAATTGTATCTGCTAAAAATTACATCTTGATTGAGTAAAAAAGAAAGGGAAAAGTTAACCAACTCGGACCCAATACAACTACAATACATTTAAAACACACACACACACACACACACACACACACAATCAATTCACCAAATCAATTCAACCTCATTAACAGAGACTAGCACTGCATTCTTCCAAAACAATTAACAAAATCATCTACGAAAGCAAAATATGGCAGTGGAGAACGAAAATTAACCAATAATACGGCGCCGTTTTACCTGAGCAGAAAACCGCAGAAGATTAAAATAGCGAGAGAGATCTGACCTTTCCCTTGCTCTCTCTCTCTCTCTCTCTCTCTCTCTCTCTCTCTCTCTCTCTCTCTCTCTCACTGTGTGTGTGTGTGTGTGTGTGTGTGTGTGTGTGCGCTGGGGAGGGTAAAAGACAAAGTCCGGCAGACTGGAGCTTTGAGGATTGATTGGACTTGGGATTTGTAGGGATTGGTTAAATATTTGGGGTGTAAAAGTTATTTAAGTGAAACTATGGGGGCTTAATTGCACTTTTACTTCTTTTTTCACAATTATTAAAGGTATCATCACTCATCTCTACTTGTGTTCTTTTTTTTCCCACTAGGAATTGATGAATATTTGTGTGTTGTATTTTACAAAATTTCTAAAACATTTATATATATTTTTAAAAAAAATTGGTTATCAAATTTATATGTACTAAATAAACCTCGTCCTAATAAATATTCGCTTGAATAAGTGAGCAGTGAGAAGAAAACTGACGGTTCATTCCTAAAACGATACAAATTATATGGTTATTTTATAAATTGTGAATGTTATTGAAAAATCGTATTAGTACTTTTAATACAACAAACCGAACATCCAAATTAATTCGACCTATTTAATCGAATAATACCTCAGTTATTAATTCGCGGCGAGGTTTGGTAATTTTGTCGGAGATAACAAGACAACTAATTTCAATATGTCCATTAATTCTCACAATTTTGAGAGAAAAAAAAATGTCATACTGTTTATGTTAGTAAGCAATATCTACAAATGGATTTGGTCAATTTTTGTGAGGTATGTATAAGAGAATGAATGAAAAATAGGAGTTGGTTATTGTAGTTCATTCAATCTTCTTTAATTGCAAAATGCACCCCTACTTTTAGCTATTTATAAAATGGTTCACATTTACTAGTACTAGTGGCTTAACTAATAAATGTTTGTTGCAAAATCAAAATACATCAATTATCAAACACAAAAACATCAAAATACATCATTGGATTGCATGGTGGGCATTACACTAGTCCTTATTCATTAATATAGGAAATATGTATTATTGATGTTTTAATTTTACAAATACACCTCAAATAGGTGCAATTTGAATAAAAATTAACTAAAAATTAGTCTTTTTTTAACATAGTGACAATTATGCCAAATTACGGTCACACTTGAGATAAGGGTTAGATTATAAAAAAATTCCACATAATTTGGTAATCACAACTAACCCCTTAATTATGTATTGTCTTACACGTTAGCCTTATGGTGTCAAATCTACCTATTGAAATATGGGTTTTTTCGTAAGACAATACATAATTGAAGGGTGATTATAA